AATACCATTTGCCCGCAAGCAAGAACTGGTAGGACCACAAATTAGACAGAGTAATAGAAAATGAAGAAGTTAAAGTGATCTGAGACTTTAGAATTCAAACAGACAAATACCTGCCACACAACACCCCAGAGTTAACAACTGTTGATAAGAAAGACAAGAAAGTCTGGATAGTGGACACTGCAACACCTGTAGAGAGCAGAAGAGAAGAGAAAGAACTGGAGAAAATCACAAAATATAAAGACCTGCAAATAGAAGTAGAATGAGTATGGCAAAAGAAAGCAAAGACAGTATCAATAGTAATAGGCACTTGGGTGCAATCCCAAAACATCTGGAGCACCACTTGAACACCATCAGCATTGACCAAATCACCATTAGTCAATTGCAAAAGGCAGCTTTACTTTGAACAGCTTACATCCTGCAATGATACCTTTAACACCATCAAACAATATCTGCCTATCCCAATAAAAGGACTCAATTAGGTGGATATAAATTCCAAATCCAGTCTAAACTTCTGTGCAACCATCAACAATAATAATACTTGCATGCTGTCCGATTCCCAATACCTCTGGGAGGCTCACAAGGATCAAACAAAGAAATTACTATAAAATCAATATAAGATAGCCTGGTAGAGAGTGAAAATAAAGAAATATTATAGTGTTTTTATCAACAAAGTGGAGAATAACTTTAAGTGATACATTGGATTAAAAAAAAATCAGCTGAGTCACTTACTAAGGGATTGCTGGTAATAGCAGCACATTGCAGTTGGCTGAAAAATTTGGCATTATATACCATGAAATATCGTAGAACTATAAAAGCCAGTTTTGGGAGATCTATTTTGAAGAATTGATTCATAAACTTAAAAAAAAAGAACATGATATATAAGGAAGAAGCAGATACAAGTGGGGCTAGACTTGTTCATGGTCATAGGATTTGCTAAATATTACAATACATTTTGCACTCACTACCAGTCTCAAGCATAGGGCAGCAACTAAGAATAATATTAATGTGAAGATTCCCAAGGTGACTCTCAGAAACAGCAGGTTCTATGTTCCCTACTGGAATCTTTCGATTAGCATGATTCTAGTCCAAGGGATGCAAGGTTGCTAAACAACAGTGTATTCACTGGGAGAATAATAAGGCAGACTAGATTCTGCTGAATTTTGTCTCAGATTAGGATAAATGAAATCAACATTGCTGAAGGTGAAGAAGGTATGGAAAAATGGAGGTTCCTATGGCAACACTGTATTAAAATCACAGTTCAAGAGGAATCCAGACTCTTGGGACTGTTGGTGTTGAACAAGGAGAAGTAAGGGCCATGAATACAAGTAGAAATATCTCTAAAAAGATGACAGGATGCTCCAAGCAATTCTGCTGCTGTGGCAGCCAAAAGGAAATAGGAGGCACAGTAAAAACCATTCCTTTTGTGCATGTGCAAAGAGAAGGGATTGTCTCCCACCAAAAAGTTCAGCTCTACAGCATTTTCTGAATGAATCTCTATTCAGGTGCAGAATTCATTTAAGTGAAGCACAGAGACCATTGAAAAGAACTATTATAAACTATTCAGGATAGTTTAGAATTCTTAGATAATTCTAGAAACAAACTCTCCATTACTATTACTACACTCTCTCTACTCAGTCTGAACCAGTTTCAAGTACAACGGCGAGAGAAAATGCCATTTAGAGCTATGGTGAGATTAATAAGCAATAGCTATTGAGAGGTAATATTTTATTCTAGCTAATAAAGATGGCTTTATCTTCAACAAAGGATATCTTTATAGTAAAACAATATGTTTCATACTTAGATGGATATACATTTTATATTATTTAACAAATTATATAAATATGATGGCATATGGTAAACACAACTATTTTACCAGGGCTAAAGTTCTTTGTTTTTCAGCTAATTTATTAAGTGCACGATTCAATAATTCCTCTGCTTCTGCTACCTTTGCTTGTTTTGGATCTACAAACTAAAAAACAAGATATATTTACAATTCAATATGAATCTGATAGAATTAATACTTTGGAGAAAGACAGAATATATGTCACAAATAACTTGATATAGACACATTTATTATATATGAAAAAAATAACAAACATACTGATATTACTAACTGCACTTGAGGGATTTTACTGAAAGGGGCATCTCTGTAAGAACTTCTTTCCAGTCTTAACTTTAATTTTCTAACATACTTATTTATATTGTAACATCATTATACTTCATGTTCTCCTGTCCCGACCACTAGCCAGTGATGCATCCCAGAGAAATTCACAATCTGATGACATGACAACATGAGCAAATTGACTGAATAATCATAACTCTCTGTGTTTGCTCTTTATATTTCTCTGCAAATTTGTAATCAAATTATAATGGGTTAATACAGTTTCTGGCACAGGACTTCACTATCCATGAGTCTTAGTAAAAACACAGGTTCTGGTGTGGTTCTGAACAGCAAGATACCTTCAACTGTATTATTATATGTATTATAAACATATAATCTGTCATATAGTTGGTATCCTAATTGTTTTACATTGCTCAGAGCATAATGACTGTTTCTCATCTCAGAGTGGCAATATTCTGAATTAGGAGAAAGTGGGTGCTGTTGAAAACTTGCCTAATAATGAGGAATAATCATGTCAAAAGGATGTTTTTCTGTACAGTAAGCATGTAAATGCAAATAAATAAAGTGTATTTTCTACAATAAATACTTCTTAACCCTGTTCTTATGCTTTTTAGGACATAAATGTCAATAATTCATTTTACTATCTTTTATTCTGTCATGTATTTCACATTAATTAAACTTATGGAACTACACTGGGTGAAAAAATAAACTCTAGAATTTATCAGAAGTGTTACATGGACTATCCAGAATGTAGCTCTTTAATCAAAGTTTGTTTATTCAAGGTTGAGTGATCTATAAGCAATGCTAATTAACAGTGTTCCTTCTCCTTGATCACCAGAAAGGGTAATTACCTTCTTCAGTGAGAAAGCTGGGCTAAAATAACCTTTTTTTCTTTTTTTCTTTTTTTTGCAAAAAGGCTTTTTCACTTGAGCTCTATTTTTCTTTTTTCTTCCCTAGGAACAGGAGGTTACAGAAGGTCTGCCTTGATAGCTGTGCGGATGGCTCTGTAGTATGGCCATGTATGTAGCTTGAATACTGAGGAACTCAACTTGCTGTTGACAGGGATCTTTCACCACTTTTTGCTCATCTGCACAAAGCAGAGCATCCAGAGTGGTTTCATATGGCCAGTGCTCGGCTTTTCCTGTTGGACCTGGGAGCCAAGACTGAATCCAGAAAAGTTCACATCATCTCTGATTATGGAATATGGGGCCAGGAGTGAAGCTGTCCTATTTCATGTAGTCTACAGGGAGGAAACTTTCTCCCCTCTCACATAGGAAATCTGAAGCTGTGATCAGCCATTACTTCATCTACCAACTTGCCCCAGAGGAAGGACTCTGATCACCTTCTAGTGCTAGCCCTAGAAGGTAGACCAGACTAAGAAACAGACACTGTGTAGGCCTAAAGCTACTTTTATTAGAACAGCTATAGGAACAGAATCTTGCAAGTTTGAATGTGCTTCCCTTCCTCTTTTATCTTCATGTGAATTGGGGATGGGGGAGCTATCTGAAGTATTTTCATAAACCTCTTTCTTGGTCTGGGCTCAAGCCTCATTTATCTGATCGTTGCCTTGCTAATGAAACTTCCCTCTGTCCTTTAAAGTCATCTTCTATACTCTCTACACCTAGGTCTCAATGGGATAGGAAGGATAGCTCAGTTTTCCTCCCTTAAACTTAGGAGAGTTTAAACTTTTTTCAGGGTTTTTGAAATGACCTCTGGATGGCAAGCTGGTTAGCAGGTAGGTTTTATGGCTGAGTTTCAAAGAGGAAAGGATGGAGGTTTTCTTCTGAGGGAGAAATGAGCCCTTAGCCTTAGAAATCACCTCCTCCATAACCTTTCTTTCCATCCTCTTCCCCCTTGTCCTTCTCATCACAATCCTGCAGGGACCTGAGAGAAGCAAAGGGAAACTAAACATTGCTCTTATTGCAAGAATAGCAAACAAGCTGAGGAAGGCTGGGAATTTCCTCTCATCCCCTTATCTCTTATGAAGATACCTTACCTTCAGGGCATAACAATTGCTGCTGTCATGGGCTCAGCTTCTGTCTCTACCACTACAATGGCTTTTCCTTATTCCACAATCTTTGTTTGTCAGTAGATCATACCTTATGTGAGTCTGCTAGAGAAAATGCCCCAACCTCTGCAATGGAGAATACAGTCCTTTCATCTTTCTTGGGAAGCTCAGAGAACCATAGAGGATGCAAACAGATGCCAGCCTATTTGCTGGAAATTTACTTTTGGACCATTCAGGATACATGTTTTATGGGCTATCTTCCCCATCTCTTCCCTGTCAATTGGCCAGCATTAACAGCCATCCATCTATCCTTGACCACTCTCTCATTCCAAATCAAGAGGTGCCATGCTCTTGTTTATACAGACAATACCTACATCATGGGCTTCTTAAACACTGCAGTAAATTGGCTGAGCCACTGGATGACTCAGCAACACATTTCTTAGTGAGAGTTAATGGACTCTGGATCTGGATATTTTTCAACAGAATACCACAAAATAGGATCTTCCATTAGTCGTGGATATGAATGATATGTCTACTGCTCTTTTCTCCTATTTTCAGGATAACACAGCATTCAACATATTTATGCCCTCCTTCACAGCCACTCTATGAATTCCTTCTATTCCTGACTCTCTCAAAGGTGATTTGCAAGATAAAATTATTGAAAACCCAGGTTTTTTTTTCTATTGGTTCTACAAGCTGTGATTTTCTGACCTGGTACACTTGAACAGGCACTGTCCATATTACCTTCCAAGATGCCTATGTGTCCTGTCCTAATCCATCTAGACCTGGATTGGCTACATTTCTGAAATTGGAGATGAAACAGGAGCAATGTTTGAACAGAAGACTCTGCTATTGAAACAATTTTCTCAAGATACCTGATCTTTACAAAAAATAACAGCTCACCCAGCAAACCTTTCCAAAATGATGCAAAAAACAGTGAGTGATATGAGAAAATTTCTCTAAGGTTTGGGGCTCCTTCAATTCCAGTTGGACAGTTAGTATCCAATAGCCTATAAAGGCAAACAGCTGTATTAGACTTGGTCTTCTAGACAGTGATAGAACACCTCTTTCTAGTTACCCCATGTATGAATTTTCTTAGGATTTCTATTCTGCTTTTCCTAACGTACCACTGCTTCCCTACTTGGGACCTATATCTAACCCTTCAAGGAAAAATATCTGTATCCTCTTAATCTATCAGACAAGTCTCAGTTAAGATTTTGACATGGAAAAGTGTTTATCTAGTGTTGCTAAATTTCAGTAGGAGAGTGGAAGAACTAAGTTCAGGGGGGACTAATGTGTTTTCCACCATGACAGGGTGGTCTTTTGACCAGAACCCTGCTTCATTACTAAAGTGAAATTGACCTTTTATAAGTAACAAGATATAATGCTACTGAATTTCTGTACTGTTTCATCTTACCCCAAGAAACATACCTGGCACAAGCTGGATATTTAAAAGGTATTTGGGATATATTTTTAACATAGAATTCTCAAGTTAGGTAACCTGTTTGTCTCTTGCAAGCCATGGACTAGAGGATTCTTACTCCATTATTAGCTATTGGATTAAAGAACATATCACAATCTACCACTCCACTAACATCAAACAGTTTCCCAAAGAAATCATGGTCCATTTGGTAAAGGCTAGCTACCTTGGCAACTCTAGATGCAGATGTTTCCCCAGTAGATAGATATCTATAAGGCAGCTACATGAAGCAATGCCTCTATATTTATCAAACATTACAAAATATAAATTTATTCTTTTGATGCAAGTTTCAGCTATTCAGTTCTGCAGAGGCATTGTACAATAGTTCTTATTCACCCTAAGGGATACTGCTATAGTACATCTCTTTCCTACCACCTCCATGTCCCTGGTGATCTAGAATAGTAGTTGGATTTCCAACCTTGTGATCACTGAAGGACAACCCGACAGGCCCTCCTTGGCAATGTGGAGTGGAACTGTTGAAGGGAAATTGAGCCTAGTCAGTAGTGTAGATAGTCAGACCATCTTACTCTTTTCCTTCTCCTGTCTTCCCTTTTCATTCTTTTGATCTATGACTGATATTAACAATTAAACATTTTGAATAGTTGCAATGACATACAACTGAAAGCAGGTTTTGAGACTGACATGTCTGACTCTCTGGGAACAGGAAAAAAGTTGCTTTTAGTCCTATCTTCACAGTGAAGAGATAAGTTAACCCATTTCTTGTCTAAAGTAATCTTCTAGTTACTTTAAACTATCTTCTGGTGATCAGAAAGGGAGACTATGAGCAAAACAATTCACTTAGTTGCTTAATAAAATCTTTATTAAATTAGAGTTGTTGCATATTTCAGAAATTAAAGACATATCTGTTAATTCACAATAATGAGTTAAAAAAACTCCAAATTTCAAGGGCCTCTCTTCAGCATTTAACAAAATATTATGACTAAAATACAGTCTTTCTCCATTTCTAAGATCTAAGTACATGAATGCAGTCAAGCGTAATTTTTATACTAATAACTTCTCTGCTTCTAGTCCTGCATTTACTGAGCTGCCTGAATATAAGTACATTTCTACATTTGGTTATATGATAAAAAGTTAAAATAGCGGAAAAGTGAGTAGAAAAGAAGACAATGTGAGCTGTTTTATATCTCTGTCATAATTCTGGCTAAAATGCCTTTGCAGAAATTGGCGATGTTTTCCAGAATTATGTAGAATTTTTCTCCCTTATAAATACAGTCTGTCAATATGAGAGAACATTTTAAAAACATTTGGAAATAGCATATGTATATATACCTTTTTAACAATGTGATAGTGATCCAAAGCTAAAATCCACTGACATATAGAGCAACAGGCAATAGACACAAGTCCCACTTTCACTGGACTGAAATCAGGCGACCTCACATATTTTTTCAACTGCAGAAAAACCTAAAATGAATGCAAAATAATTAATTGTAATAAAATAGCATGTCTGATAAATGTAGGAGAATTCTTCCATATCTTCAAAGGATAACAAATATCTATCTGTTTTTTTAATAATTTCATTGCACTGAATTAATTAAGAGAAGAAAACTATAAATATGTACAACAGTATTACGAGAATAATATATCTTCAAACATCATCAAAAGAAGAATGGAAGGGAAGGAAAAAAAAAGACTATGAATAATATTTCAATAAATATTAAAATCACAAAAACAAACAATATTTGTTTTGGTATTTAATATTCTAATTAATCAATCAAAGTGAATTTTTAAAAATCAGTTTAAAAGCTATCAGGGGTAGTTCACTAGATACCTTCTTTCCAGATAAAATTCTACAACTGAGGGGCTGCACATAGAAGGCCTTTGTCTCAGACTCCCGCCAACTGAATCTCTACATGGTAATATGAAAAACAGGGCTGTCCTCTGACGAATATCGCAGCAAAAAGCAAGGTTAACAGAGGAGGAGCCAGTTTTTCAAAATATCATTAAGACTGTGAGAGGTCAGACCGAACTCTGTAGAAATGGAGGAAATCTGACTGTAATGTGTTATTCACATCTGTCACATTCAAAAGATCTCTTTACAGTCTGGTGAGGAAAAGATCGTTGGACCATGGTGGCAGTAAAATCCCAGGCCAGACCCCAGAAAATGTGTTTAATTTTTAAAACCTCTTATTTGAAGATTAGGTATAGAAAAGGAGAAAAACATTTAATCTACTTGCCAATGAACTCTTCCTTTACCTTTTCTGGTAAATTATCTATGTCAAGAGTAATCAATTTTTTAAGGAATCCTGGATCTGCAAGTAGTAATTTTGCCGTTGTCCAGTTTGGTTTCTTTTGAAGAAGAACACAAACTGCATTCATAACAGTTAATACAAGTGGAGGCGGATGAGTATATACTCTGAATTATATAGAAAAAGTGCACAAAATATGTTATATTCAAAACCACTTTATTTTTTGCCAGAGAAATCTTTAACAACCATATTAACATTCAGTGATTAAGATACAATAATTTTAGTGGTCAACATGAAAACACTGAACATGCTAGACTGCCCAATGAATGTAATGCATATTTCTAACCTACTAATAAGGAGGAGGTTGCAGTTTAATATAAAAAAGAGAAATAATATGAAACAATCTATGAGCAATCTTCTATTGAGAAGATCAGTTTTTAAGGGAATCTATTGCTTTGGTTATATCTTACTATTCCTGCTAATAATTTCTTATATTAGCAAGGATCAGGATACACCAATGTAAACTAAATATGACTAATGGATGTTACGTGCACTGAATTAATGTCTCTTGATGTGCAGGAAATCCTCAACTTAAAAAACCCTTGAAAATAAGCAACACACTTACCTAATTTCTGCAATGTGATTTTTGTCAAGTGCATCAAGAGCACTCAGGGCTTTCTCCAAAGATGGTAATACAGCATTGAGTTCTTCTGTTGCTTGCTACAGAAATGAAGAAAGGGTAGAGTTTCATTTTTTATTTATAAGATATACATGGACAAATACTATTTTTGTATACTGAAATGCTTTAATACAAACATACACCTTTTTTATATTGGGTTTGAGCAATGTATGTGATAATCTTTAATATTTTTGCTCCAGACCCTCTGCTACTAAAGCTTGTATCTCTAAGTATACCAAAACACTAACAGGGAAATGTAATGGTATGTGGGAATGATCTTGGGAGACAGGAGGAAGAGCCACACCCTAGACAACGGTCTGATAAACAAAATTTGAGTCTAAAGGAGGAAGGGTAGAGAAAGCACCTCAGAAGGGACCGTCCCTAGTTTTTGGGAGAATAAAAGTAAGGGACTGGAGGGTACTTTTTTTCCTGTTAATGTAACCTAACAATAAAGATAGAGCTAGTATTCATTGTTGTGCTTCTTGTCTGGACTATCTCAAAGGGCTAACATCAGTCTTGTACTTCTAAAAGTACCCCTCTCATCCTTTCCTTTTACTCTCCTGAAAACTAGGGAGGGTTCCTTCTGAGATGCTTTCTCACCCCTCCTCTTTTGGACTCAAATTTTGTTTATCAGACTGTTGTCTAAGCTGCAGCTCTTCTTCCTGTTTCCCAAGGTCATTCTCACATACCGTTACAGAAAAAGAAGATACTAACTGCTGAATCCACATCAGCCAATTTATATAAGATTTTTTTGTTGTTGTTCATCCTTGGGACAATACATCTGGCCTGCAAAAATGAAGAGGGAAAATATCAGCAAAGAGATGTAGCAAACTTTAGCCTCTTGCTGCCATCCGGGGTTCCTCCAGATTTTTGAAGCCAGATATGGTAGCCTTCGTTTCTTCTTTCTGGCAGGAAAATTATATTTGATTGGAATAGTTAGCATGCTTGTTATGATGCAATTAAAATGAAAGAAATATTGAAAACTGTGTACCTTAGCATATGCTTCCACAATTTTAGTTTCGACAGCCATAGTTTCTTCATCTTGTTTAACAATAGTTCGAACTTGCTCTACTATTAAAGTATCTTTGTGAAGTTTAGCTACAAGTTCTTCTATTTCCTGATGAGAAAATAATCAAATATTTTTATGGTAATCTCCGAAAAAATCATGAATCTAAAACTTTAGAAACATAAGTTCTGCAAAGTACCCTCCAAGTCCTTCTTTATAAAAATGCATATAAAAACATACGGATTTTCTTACAGATCAGATCAAAAGCCCTTTATTTCAGCCCAATGTTTTCAGCAATGGATAGTTACAAGATCATAGAAAATGTATAATCTTGGTGTAATTGAATAAGCTTTCTACTATCTATCCTTGGACCCTGTTTTATGTATATGTTGCCTATCATGATGAATAAAATAATGAATCTATCATCTACATTTTTAAATGTTATCAAATTAATCTCTATCAGTATATTTTGTGGCAATTATATTCTATGAATTATGCTTTGTATGGGAATCAATAGTTGTAAAGCTATTGCTAATTGGTGCTCTGCTCTACCAACAAACTGATACTGGTATTAATCCAGCATCAGCTTTCCATGTTTCAAACAGACCCTAGAACCTCTATAGTGTGGCAGTTGTGTGGCAGACACAACACAACACAACAACATCGCACTTGGAGCCTGGTACTCTGGCAGTTGGAACACATCTAATTTCACTCTCCATCTAGTAGCCTTAGCTGATTGCAAAAATGATACTATGTATTGTGGTTCATGTTTAATTTCAGAAGAAAAATTAGATACAAAATAATCATTATCTATATAGCTTTCAAAGTGGTCATTCTCAAAATAGACCTCATTTGGAGAAACAAGAAATAATAATATCCATAATTTCTGTCCATTTTGTTTATAATTATATTCTCTATGAGGAAACATTACAGTTGTAGATTTTTAACTAATGCACAATGCAGGGGATGAGGGTGGGGGCTTGATATGTATGAAAAAAGTGGTTCAATAGAAATGAAGCTAAGAGATTCAGGACAGATTAGAGGAAATACATCACACAATGCATAGATAACTGGTGAAATTCACTACCATATTCCACAATAATTGCTAGTAAACTGGGTAGTTCTAAAAGGGCCTGGACAAATTCATGGAGGATATAGCTCTCAGTGACAATGGTCATGATGGTTATTAGAGGTAGTATCAGGAGTAGTATGTCTCTTAACGCCAGTTGCTAGACAACAAATGGGAGGATACTCTTGTGCTTTCCACTGAGTTCTGACTGGCCACTGTAGGAACAAAATGCTGGACCAATAAGGCCTTTGGCCCAGTCTTGCATGGCTCTAAATGAAATCCAAGGCTTACTTAGCTCAAATTAAAAACTCAGAAGCAGGGCATGACAGTATAGTCCAGCCTTCACAACCACCGGATGTGTAGATTAATTCCAAAAATTACATCAATGCTGTCTGCAGGTTTTTTTTTTTTTTTAAGTCAAGATGGGATTCCATGGTAGCTCCTTAAAGAGGGAATGGAACTTTCTATGGGGAGACTGTTGTCCTTGAATATTCTTAGACAACAGTCAAGAATCCAAGACAGAAAAAACAAATTGGGGGCACCTTAGAATGAGTGAACCTGATGGATTTATAAATCTTCAAGATTTACATCCCTGTCTGCAGATGACCATGGGAAGTGGATTGACATCAGACCACAAAAGGCCACCAAACGAAAACTTACGAGTTTTATTATATCTTATATCAAACTCTTATTACATTCTATTACATCTTCTTAGTAGCATTTAACTTCTTTTTATACTTCATGCCTTTTTCCCAACTTTGGGATTTAGTGGCTTAACATTTACAATTTATGATCTACAGCAGCTTTATTGGCTCTATAAATAGACTTTGTTTATCTTTTCCTCTCCGCTTATTTGACCTTTTACAGTTTAACTCTGTTTATAAAAGTCAACGGATACTTGGAGTGGAAACTATACTGTATATAGCTTGCATTCATGTGGGAGGCCCAAATGAGAAACTAAGACTGGCTAAAAAGAGATTGGACTAACTATTGTAGCTGTAATAATTTCGTTTTCCTGACCTGAGGTTATTTTATTGTGTCTTAGATTTACTCAGATTATATATTAATTATTGTATATGTAACTCCATTTTTTTAGTTGTATATGGATATTACTCATTCTAGATTGCTTTACAGGATCTAAGTTTCTGAACATATTATACTTGTTGCCACAGGAGGGAGCTCCTGTTCCAAAGATACTGCTTCATACAGAAACCAATTGGATTTCTATTGTAGATATATCTTACACATTTGGACTCATCTTAATTTTACTGACATTCTGCATTTTAATTTATTTTTATATATACTTGTCCCCCCTAATTTGTTTGTATTATCCCAAAAGATGACTCATTTTTATTCATTTTTAAGGTACAATTTATGTTCCAATTGATAACAAAACAAAATTGTATGAAAAAAAAATTCACTGTGAAATTGCAGAGTAAGACATCTTGATTCTTGGAAATATAAATGGTTTCTCCCTCCCTTCCCTCTCCAGTTTTGATAAATCTGGGTCATACAAAAGGAATTTCTGTTAACCTTCCCCAAAATGTCATTTTTCTTCCCTTCAGATGCATGGAGATATAAATAGTCTTCAAAGAAAGAATAAGCCTACTATTCTTCCATTCACACCACTAATTCAAGAATGTGTTGGTTGTCTAGCTATTGAATTTATAGACTTATTTACTGGAATTTATAGCATTTATTTATACAGATGATAATCCAATAATTTTAAGATTGCACAGAGGAACCACTAGCTCAAAAAGGTGGAGACTGAATGGATTATTACTATTGCAAAAAATATACTTAACAAAATACAATAAAAATTTATTCAAAAAAAGCTATTCACAGATTTCAAAAAATATAATGGCAGATATCTTAAGATGGAAAAACATAATTATCCTAGTTAGAAGCCAATCAATAGTAAAAATGAATATAATTCCAAGGATCAACTTTCTATTTCAGATTATTCGAATAAGAGTTGAACAAAAGATAATGAATAGCAAAGACAAATACTTAACTTCATTTGCTCAAATAAAAATTTGATTAAATTCAGAATTTTGCCATGTGAAAGAATAAGATGGACTGGTTGTAGCAAATCTCAAACTATATTATATAAGTCTAGACTTATTGCCCCTTATATAACTACTAAATATTTATTCTCATGAAGGCAAATGTACAAATACGTTGATCAGTGGAGAGATAATAATTCATATAGACTACAAGATTTAATGTTTAATACAACAAAGATGAAATCTTTTGAGACTCTCTCCTTGGAATATTCAGAAATGTTTCATTAATTCCAATATCTACAAACTGGTAGGGTAATTCAAAGGGAGTTACAAAATAGGGCGGAACCCTCAGAGAACTGAATAAATTTGAAAACGTACAACATGAAATTCAGAATATCTGCTGGGGCTTACTTGTAAGTTATTACTGAAATATGATTGATAAACTGAATAATTCAAAGATAGTAGAATTAAAGGTATGCGGTATTTAACAGAACTGATATGCAAAAATGAAAACACAAATGAAATATTAAATTTACTGTAAATACTACATTCAGAGAAAATTGGTAAAAATGTCTTTTCACTGGTATATTACTCCAATGTTGATTGCCAAAATAGATAATTCATATTCAAAAAATTACTCATTTTCTTCATTCTTGGTGGCAATGTATGCAATTCAGGAAAATGATTTATTATAGAATGAAACATATTTTAAATATTAACTTCTCTTTCCTGCCAGCTGTTTTTCTGTTATGCATCACTAAGCCTTATATTCCTACAAAATATATGGAATTGCCCTTGTGTATAATAACAGCTCTAAGATACTTTATCTTTTTTAGTGAAAATTACTCATGATTCTTTTTTTAGAATAATGACGAACTAAACTATCGGAGCATGCATCTACAGTATGTTAAAAATAATTTTGTATTTAAAAAATCTGATACCGAATTTAACTTGGAAACCATTTATGGACTATAGTCTACACATGGACTTGTACCACATCTGAAGTTTGAATTTATTCTAACATAAGGCTTTAAAATATTAGATCTTCCCTGATTTGTGATAATAAGGACAGGCTTTCTCAAACTAAATAGAAACTCCTATTAATTATTCATTCTGATTGATGAGTTTTATCTTATTGGCTGCCTCTAATTATTCAATACTGAACTGATTTTAGTAAGTTTTCAAGTTCAAAATTGATATATCATTTCATATACAGTATTAATCTAATATGACTTTGAAAATTCTTATTCATTCATACAGCTTGTAAATATCTTTTCTATTTCCTTTTTGTTCCTTAATTTCTTTTCCCTTTTTTTCATTGGTCGCACTTTAAATACTTGTTAAAATAAAAGGAAAAAAAGACAGCAATTTAACTGTGAAGACCTCTCTCCCTCTTTGAATGTGCATCGATACTGCATGCAAAGACAAGGGGGAAAGCTTCAATCACACAGGCACAACTTCCATCTTTTTGATCGTCTCTCAGTGAATGTCTCTGGGTAATTCCATTTGTGAAATGAAAATCTCACAGGATGCCCTTGTCAAAGAGTTGGTATCATGTAAATTCATTTAAAATCATGTTTTGCATGATTTATGCTGTTATAAATGTAGCCTACAAAAGCTGCCAGCTCAAACACACACAAACACATTCCCAGAGGTTCAGACATACAACCTACATCCTTGGAAAAGAGATACCCTCTGTTATGTACACACAGTCCAGAGTTTATTTCTTTATTTATCAAATTTATATGGCCACCCATTTCACAAGAAGTGATTCTGGGAGATCAGCAAAAAAATATAAAACAATAAACATGTCAAACACAGTCATATTAAGAAGTTTTTTAAAAAGTTAGATTACCTCCAACCCCTCCTCTTGTTAGTGAACTATGTGTGGTTTCAGTTTTTATGGACTATTCAGGCTAGGCATGGATATCTGCTTTATTATAATCTTGTAGTCTGAAATTGCAACATCTTCTGTCTCACAAAGAAAAACACACCATTTGTAGCAAACTCTCCTTTTGAGTTGCCAGCTATAAAACTGATATGAACAGCTTATTATGAATGTGAATCTTATCAGGGCCTCAACATTTTTAATTGTTTAATTTTTTTTTTTTTTTAGTGTACTGTGTTGTTATTCTGTTCACGGCCCAGAATTCCTTCTGGTAGATGGGTGGCTATATACGTTTCATAAATAAATAGATAAGTAAAAAAATAAAATTTTGGTCTGTCTCCCAAGGAGGGGAGAAAGGGCTGAATCATTTAGTCACATGCTTCTACACTGAAAGCCAGGTGGTTGCACTATTAAAATCATTTTACTTCTTGTGTTTTTTGCATTTTTATCTTTTTAGCACCAGAAAGACAGCATAGATTGTGAGATCGCTATCTTTCTCAAACTATATGGCTAGGGAGAATTTGCCATGCAAGGCACTTCTTAAATGATAGGTGGTAGCTGTAGGATTAGTCAAGCTGATACCTCAGAGCAGGAGGCACAGCCAGCATGTGAAGGTGATGAAGCTGTCTGGGAGAAGACGTTTGGGATCTCCAGCCTTCCACACTATGGGATCAGCTCTTCCACTACATAGATTTATCATGAACGGATTCCAAATGTTCTTTTCTTTTACACCAACTTAGGTTCCTTCAGTCTTCTTTTTGTTCTTCCAATGTATCTGACCCTCCATAAATTGAATTCACATAGTAGTTATACTGTTGTAACTTTTATAAAACAGTTATATCTGTGTCATAAATTTTATAAACTCTAAAGTCTTACTTGAGACTTGATAGGAAACTATTAAGTATTTTGAGGGGGTGGGGAAAACACTTTTGAATTAAATATACCTTTGATTTTGACTCTATTTGAGGTCCAAGGACAAGTAACTCATTTTGCATATCTGTAATCTGTGAAGTTGCATCCAAGATTTTTGTCAGACCAGAATGATAGCATGCTCTAAAATGAAAAATAATTAAAATCTACTTATATCATAGACCTGAGAATCACATAGCATATTAATTAGTGTCAACTTCCTAAGCCAACTGCCTTTTACTAAATGCCAAGTACACATAGATGCCTTTTGGTAAAACTAAATATATGAGCTTCATAAAGTCTGTCATGAAAGAACTATGGTAAGCACTGCACCCAGAATTGTTTCTAATGTTAATTCTTTAGACGCTTGTAGAAAACATTCTATCAAATCTGCAAGTTTTCCATCCTTGCTTTGGTGTAAAATGCCCACACATCTTGACATATGATGCTACATGTATTCTCTAGAAGCTGAAAACAAAAAGAGTGGCCTTTTTAATTACTGTCAAAGCTGCGATATGAGCAATTTCAGATTTCCAGATCAGCTTTAGAAAAAATATCAGAAACAAATAATGTAACATAGGAAGGAAAGCTGAATATTAAAATTCCTATGGTATATTACATATCACATTATATACAGAAACCAAGCAGAAATAATAAAAAAAAACAGATACACGAGCTATCTAACTGTGGAGCTTTGACAGCTAATACAATTTTTATAATTAGCAGTGATTTTCAAGGTATCTTCCAACTGAGATCTTTTTACTGAATGCTAGGAATTGAATCTAAAACTTTACACATGTGAAGCATGAATGTACTTTTGAATTCCTCTTGTTATATAATTGCTGTTAACCTCTGATTGGATTTAAGCTTATCACTATCCACAATCCAAACTATTAGAACTACTTCTGCCAATAAATTAAAGAAACCTCACTTAGAAGTGAACAGCTTCTAAGTATTTGTATCCACATTAGAACTGTGCCTGTAATAGGGTGTATTTATGTGTGTGTTTTGGCTTTTGACAGGAATATCTGAGATAAGCTATAAAATTAGTTTATAAAATATTTTTTCATTGATATTAAGTCCATTGCTTACACGATATCTGACAGCTTAGTCACATTTAGGAGTCACCCTACTGAAATTAATGTGACTTCAATATGACACAGTTAAATTTAACTGATTCCAAATGCCTGGGCTGAGGACTGTGTGCATCTCACAAGGTTGGAGGTAGTTTAGTTTTCCTCTTCTCCCAACAGCCTTTTAGTCCTCCTCCACTTCTTTGAGAGTTGGGCAACCTTGCTAAACAGCATGCATTGTGATACAATGAACTGAGGATATGGGGATGATCTCTAAAATTGTGCACTTTCCAGGATTTGGCAAGTTAACTTACTGGTGTATTAATCTGACTCCAACCCAATGTGCAGATTTTGGAACCATACAAAAGTCATTGATTCAGGAATGGAACATCCTTGAGACCTTTAGAATGTTCTGTTTTCCTCCAGACAATGCCAGACCTCCTCTTGGAATATGCAGTTCTGGGGACAGCCTGGTGATTTCCAGAAATATAGTCTAGAAGGAGGTTTGGTGTGATCTGGAGGGAAATGGCGTGTCTAGTTGAGTTTAAGACTTAGTAAATACAACACAGTTTATTTTCTCATCCTTGCTGCACAGATACATATATATTTATCTCTCTTCCATGAAATCTAGTCTTATTTCACAATAAATGTATTCATCTTTAAGGTGCGAAACACTGCTTGTGCTAAAATGGACTAACATAAATACCTCTCTTGATATTTTTAAGATACAACTTACCTATTCAAATTTTAAAGGCAAATAAAAAAGCAAATGGCTGAGACCAAGATTCATTGGGCAGTCTGTTTCTGGATGATCCTACCAGTTCACTACAATCATTTTCCCTATTTTCCACAATTATTTAAATATTGAGTAACATAAAAATAAAATGACCCTTTCTATTACTTTGCTTCATATGAAAAGTTGAATAATTCTTTTCAAGAGTTGGAAGTGAATTTACTCTCTTCAAATCAGAGTTCTTTTTTATTACTATCAGCTGCTATTTTAAATTCAGAATGTTCCCCAATGAAGCATAATGTGATGATCTCAGTTTTATCATAAAATGTCTTGGAGTACTTTGTATAGTCTTGAAATGACACTGATGTCAATGAAAACTGCAAGTATTAATTGATTAATAGTCAGGTTCAGGGATGAGAAGACAAAATAGATCTGCTATCTTTAATTATCAGTTTGAGGGGCATATTTCTGATCCAGCACATTTTTGTATTGTTTCTTGTACCTTTATATAATTAAAAACCAATAGGAAACAAATGCCAGTCCAGATCTAGGAGCAAATAGCTTACTTCCTATAATGTGCCAACTATGTTGAGGGAGTCTCTTTCAGCTTTGTTTATAATGTGCTGGTTTTTTGAAGACTGACTTCTTGTCCTTTATCACTGCTACTTAGAATGTCAGGATGGTCATATAATATTGCAGCCATTTGGTAAGCCACCCAGAGTCCACTGGAGTGGGCAGCTATATTAAATCTAATAAATAATAATAATCCAAGGCAGTATGGGAAAGAAGATTGTAAAGAATCTAATGCAAAGATAGAATAATCCCTCAACAATAGTATACATTAACCACTGATTAATGTATAATGTATATATTAATCACAGGATGAATGGTAATTGAATTTTACTGTAGCTAATGTTCATCCTGCCATGAATCTGCTGGCAGTTAAATGCTCAGATTTGCTTGCAGAAGGATTCATGGCAAAATTCTCCACTTCCAGGAAAGAGTGCATTAACCCACCCAATGGCTGCAGCTAGCATTTAACAGGACTGCTGCTGTGCTTTGGGAGGTGTTTCTGGATCATGTTAATGACATAACTGAAATGTTAAATGTTTTAATCCACCTAATTGCAGAAATAAAAATATTTCTATAAAATCACATCCTTCCTGACAATTGCTTTGAAGTGCTGTTACCTTTACAAAGTTATGGTATATTACACAACCGAGAGATTACATGTATATTTTTTACCTCTCACTCAGAATTTTCTCTTTTGTGGTCTGCAATATTGTAGAAAAAGTATTTATAAATTGCAAGTAACTTTTGGGAGTGATGTAATAGTGCCTTTTAGTTTCCTTCAAGTACTTCTCAATTATCATAGATACATTCTTGTGAATATTAACAGTCATGTGGATAAGAACATTTCTTAAATTCTGAAAAGACACATGAAAAGACCATGTATTTAAACAATGTACACTTCAGTTTAAGAAGATTTGATTGTAACATTCTCAGTAGTTCTCTATATGATTGGAAGTGATGTGATAAGATACTACTTACTGCTGTTGTGTATGTAAGATCTCTGAATTGTCACTCCTGGGATTTGCACAAATCATGCACACTTTACCAATATGAGGATGCTTCCCCCCCTGCCCCAAAATTGATAAAGTTAAATTGCCCTGCTTCATTCACAGCAATTTAGATGGGTGAATGATTTTATCTTCCACTTGTAATTCTTCCATGTTTCTGCATTGCTTTTGCTATAAAATAATAATTTTAAAATGTGGGGTATAGCTAGATCTAGAAACTTGTATTATCAGGAAGCACCTTAAATATTTCAGTGCCATAACTGTAGGCAGTTCTGCCTCTCCTGCAGCTGATCCTATTCATGCAAGAATGTTTGCTCTTAATTGCTGCATAACTAAGTTAGGCTTTGCTAAACCTACACCGAGTTGTTTCAAGACCAGGCTTCTTTGAAGGGATTGGAAGAGTTCTATAGGCCTGAAGAGAGAAGTCCAGCAGCAGACTGTCCACTGTTTGCTTTCTTACTCTCATCAGTTTTTACTCTGCTGTCTCTCCCTTGTTCCTTTTCTTCCCTCCTTAAGAGCCCTCCTCTCACAGCTTTTAGGTTCATCAGGCCTGAGTCTGAAAATTCCCACTCCTTGGTGATGAGGTTTACTTGCAAGGATGCTGGTGTTTTCCTTTTACCATAGTGTGAACTCACATTTTAGAAATATGTTGGGATTGTCAGTTTTTTTGCATATTATCAACATTCATTCATGAAAAATCTAATCCAGTTTAACGTATCTGTCCTAAAAATAAGTATTGTTACAACTTACAGAAATACTCATAGCCTTATTTGGTGAGGTAAGGAATACTTTTCATCAGAGAAATGAAATTCCTATGGAAGAGGCTATTGCAAATTACCTGCTTACAGGTGTTAGCTGAATATTGAATGAACATTTTAAAAACCTATAGTTAATCACAGACTTTTGCTACTACCACTATCTTCCAGCCAGCCAAATCTAGACAAGTAGCAGCAGAGCCAAAATGTGTAGGTGAAAATGTGTACAAAGCTGAAATAATTTGTGTTTGCTGCAGAGCAAACTTTGATTTCCCCAACATCTTCTATGAGGCCTAGAGCCCCATCCAGATATGATAATTGAAACGTGTTGCAATGTTTTCCCTGAGTTTTTAAAATGGGTTATCATAATTCATGAACAATTTCAGTTGATCAGTCAGCTCATAAGTGAGAATAATAATAACATTATAGTTTCCATTTTGATAAAATATATTTATATCATACCTCATTCCGAAATGTCTCATTCTGGCTAAAGTAACTTTTTGCTACATGGCAAAGGGCCTCTTCAGGCCAATTTTCATACCAGTCTACTGTACAGCAGTTCAAAATGGCAGGATATGTCCGACAATGTTGATGGAAAACCACTCCTGTAGGACTTATTGTCAAAACTATATGAAGATTGTGGCGTACTCTCTGAAAAAAAAAAATTAATCCTGCGTGAAAACTATAGTAAAAGAAGTATTTCTTTGAAAATATGCATGCACTGATATTTAGATTATCATTTATTAGACTGTAATTGTACATACTTACAAGAATAATTTCCACTGAAATAAGAATTGCACTGCAAATTAGTCAGTGGTAGCAGTTATGTAAACGATAATAAGATAACATTTGCCCCAAAATTCAAAAGACAGGTTTTCCCATATGAGCTAATTTGTACAATTATAGATGTAAGTTCTATGACTACACAGAATATATTCTGAAATATTCTAGGGTTGAAAGATTATGTTGGGAGCCTCCACCACTTCCTCAAGGGACATGGTTCCTCTGCTTAGTTTCCAAGATTTACTGTAGCAACAGGAAATGAAAAGTTTTGTAGAAGCAAATAACACTTGCAATTGGAGGAAAGATGAACTGTATGGCTAACAGAGATCTATCTGAAGAAATGCAAATATAGAAAACCAGCTTTCATGATTTGACATACATGGAATCAGGAGTTGAAAATGGAATAAAATTCTTCCCTATAATATCAAACGTTTGTACTTTCTAGTCCACTGTACAGTTGAATTTTTAGTGAGATTCATTTTTGTCCACAACAGTAGAATCTGTGGTCCAATGATAGAAAAGAGAAAAACACCCTTCCTTATGAACCATGTAGAATTTTTCCAATGTCCATGATTAAGGAGATATAGAAGACTTTAATGTGAACTGCTTACAACTTAAGCAACAGAGCATAAGTGGGAGCAATAGGACAGATCTGGGAAATTCTAGATCAACTTTATTACAAAGGGAGAACAAACCTCCCATCCAGTTTTAAAAGTTCTGCTCTATTGCCAGAGAAATGAAATATGAATTGCTTCCGGTATATATGTTTTGACTGCATCCCATTATTCTCAAGTTGTTCATCTTATTTACATTGTTATAAGAAAGAACTCTGTTATTTTGTAAATGCTTTGGGGAGATCATTTGCTTGATTTCTAATATATGGATGCTGTAAATTTAGATCAAAAGCCCTCTCTCTCTCCTCTCCTCTCTCCAGCATTCCAAAAATCTTTAAGGAGGTTAACAATTAAAAATTAAAATAAGGTTACTCTAGGAAAATCTGTACTTGGCAAATCCTTGCTGATTTCTGGAAATTACTGCCTTGCTTTCAAGGTGCTTACAGACTGATCTCTTTATATTCTGCTCAAGAAACTTCCCAGGCATTGATATTAGACTGACCGGTCTGAAGATCCCTGGATCTTCCTCTCTCCTCTTTTTGAATAAAGAGAAAACATTTGCCATCCTCTGTTTTTCTAGCACTTTACCAGTTCTCCAGGGTTTCTCAAATATTATACATAAGGATTCAGCTATTTCCTTCATTACCCTAGGATATTATTAATCTGATTTTTAAGATTTAAACTCATTCAAAGTAAAGAGATTTTCCCCAATCACGTTTCTCTTAGTCTCAAGCATCAATCCTATCCTTTTTGACATGGACCTTTAAAAAGACAATTGTTTGAAATTGATCTTTTAGAATCTCCTTCTTTAAGAACTTCCACCTATCCGTTTCCCATGAGATCTCCTGCCAAGCAATCTTATCATTGCTCTTAATGTATTAAACATTATTTTCTGAAGTCCAAGGCATGCACTTGACCACACGCAGTTGTAGTTTCCCATAAAATCAAAAAGTGGCAGAAGAGACGATACAACTAAAAAGATCACTGGGAGTAAGGAAATTACTAGTATTGAGGTTGCTGGCAGAGCTGACTTTTCTGTCCATATGTATTTATACTTCTTTTGCAAGATAACTCTCATATAAATACAGGAGATATTGAGAAAATTCATTAATGAAGATCAATTTACTCCCATATTTGGTGACATGATGAAATGCATTGAGGCCATGGATTATGAGGCAATACTAAAGTAATGCTAAGATGTGAATCCAAAGAAGGGAAAAATAAAACAGTAACAAGAAAAATATTGCTACCACACTGAAAATCTAGAGAAAACATTAAAATTGTAAAACAAGAGTTTAAGGGAATGGAAGAGAATAACAAAGAAAGATCTCTCAGAATGTTGTTACAATAGCAGACAAAGTAGAACTGATTATGAACAGGGAGACTTGTGCTTCTTAAAGAAGTATAGAGGGATGATATGCTCCTGCCAAAATTTCTCAAATAGGGTTTTAAATTGTAACATATAGAAACATAGAGTTAATTAATTTGAGTACAGACCCAGTGAATAAGACTTTATATCCCATGCCACAATTGTAGAGTCTTTCATCTAGTATATGAATTTTTAGATGGAATTCTGTATTTGTAGTCTACCACCCAGCAATATACTTTCAGACTTTCCTCCCAAATTTTATCTATATATTAAACAAGATGAAAAAGAAGTCTGAACCCTCTATAATTCAATAATCAAAACAATGGTCCTTCTGAATATCTCATCCACTAAGACTAGTATTAGAAATCTTTTATAGCAAGTTCTCAGAACAGGAATGTGGAGAATGTAAACCACTAATAACTGAATGTAAGAAATGAAAGGCAATAATTCTTACATGGGGAGCCAGGAAAAGAAGGTCCCAGGAGGGACTATATGTTTTGTCTTACCTTCAACTTGTTCAATGACTGTCAATTAATAGTAGTGGCCTACATTCCTGAAATACCATACAGATTTAGTCCAAGCCTTAAAGTATTGTTGAAATCTCTGGGGAACTTCAGTCCATGTGAGGCTTGAGGACAACCAGATTCTCTACACCAGTATCACTAAATCTCCTTCTTATAAAATGTTTTAGGCAGTTACATGATTAATAATATCATAAACTTCTGAAAAGTCCAGCACAATCAACATGGATTCATGTGGTTCACCTGTTCAGCTTCCAACATAGATTAGAGAGATATCAGTTATTACCCATAAGGGTGGGATTTAATGATCACTTTTAACCTGAGCTTCTTTCAGACAGATAGTACAGAAACATCCTTGGTGGAGATAATAAAAACTTCCATCATTCATTAAATCAAACTTCTTATGACTGCCTTCTTAAGCCAGAATGGGCAAGGGTCAAACACACATGCATGCCTTCAAAGCTACAAATAACAGCTTGAATTATCTATTAACAACAGGACAATTAGATTTGGTGGGCACAACCTTGGATCCTGCTGTTAATGTGGAGCTCAAGCTGGAATCGATACAGCAATTTCACTGAGAGAGTATTAGCATATTGATCACAGTTAACTGGTACATACCTGTAAGAAGAAAGAATAGATATCATCTATTTTGTTGGAATGATTAGCCATTTCAGCAACTGATGTAAGTGATTCAACAATGTTATCCAACTCATCCTTTTCAAATAGGCTGGGGACTTGTCCTGATTTCAGAATACAACTTAGGTCTTCCAAAAATGACTCCTAAGAAAAATAATATTAATTATCTCCATTGCCTTGTGAAAGCCTAACAGGGTCAGAGCCATCCGGATTTTTGTCATTTTGACATCTGTTTTCTGCAGACACTCTCACTGGAGCTTCAGCTATAGTTAAAGTTACTTTTGTATCAACTATTTAATATTTCCTATTCTAGTAATTTATTAGAACTCTGGCAAAAATGCAAGCAAAGTCAGCTACCCATCATCTTCTAATCTCTGATAACCATCCAGATATATTAAGATTGGGAAAGAAGGGAGAAACAGAGATGGAAAATTCTAACACGTGTTTAATTATCATGATACATATTTAATATGTATACTAATTTATATTCTGGGAAGACTTACTTGAATTATGTCTGAGTTTGTAATGAGAAGAACAGTCCTCTTGCCTTCTGCTCCTGCTTGTTTATAGACATTTTTAATATCCTGTTGAAAATTTGCATAGCTGTAACTGTAGGTAGTAGATAACCTATAGATACTGCATTCAGATACATAACAGGCTAAGGATGCACAGGTTGCTTTTCCATTGCCTTCCAATCCAATCTGTCAATAAATATTTAAAACGTTAGGTAAACATGTAAGAAAAGTTTGATTTACTAAAGTAAAACTTCATTTATTAACATGTTAAAATAACTTCTAGAATGCAGGATAATAACAATTATGGCTTAGTGGCAGGTATTTTAATGACATTTTTAATTAAAATTTTACCTTGATTTAAGGTATGCTAATTTTAAACAAAGACATACCATTGACATCTTATATAAGACATCCAATTATAAGTAAACTTTCTTACCAGTGTCATGTGACCACCTTGTTGTCGAAAAATCCTTGCAGCTCTAGTTATATGCTGTATTGCTTCTTTGAAAAATACCATGGTGCTCTAAGGAAATAGGAAGCATAAATGTAGTGAACAGGGGGAAACCTCCTTCCAAAGGTTTGAGACACAAAAGATTAAAGGAAAAGTAAAATCTAACCCTTTGATCAATGTAGCTGGCACAAACACTCAGAGTCTGGGAAAACTAATGCTAAAGGGCCAATCAAAACAGAGAATATTCCTCTCTCAGGTAGGCTTTTCAAACATAGAACAGCCAGCTCCATTTTAACTGTTTGTTTTTTCTCTCATAGGAACAGCTGCAACATCTTCTGGGCTGGCTCTAAGCCAGGTAAGTAGTATCTCACATCCAAGAGATCTGTAATTGATGATCTAGAAAAGTTTTAGCTACACACAAATTGTGCAAGCTTGATGTGAGTTAGAATTTTGATATTATTTTATGCATGTGAGTTATTTGCCTTTGTCATCCTTGGTCCCATATTGTTCTTGTGTTTTTCTATTTGTGTGTCCCTGGGTGCAAAAGCATCCAGTGAGATAAACCTTGCAGACTCAATTGTTATTTTTTCTTACTTTCCTTTCTCTTTGGGACTTCTGACTCCTCTTTGGTTCTTTAACCTTAGCACACATACCAAAGCCTCCCATTTCTTATTGAATCAGCCCTCCCATTCTGACAAAGAATTGACCCTTTATTATACGCCCCAGCAAACTGATTAAGCAACAGAAAAGGGAAGTCAGAGGTAGGAGGTTTGCCTATTACTCCTTTCAAGTAAACCACAGCAAAACATATTTTTCTCTGGAAATAAGGTAGTTGGTGGCAGTATTTACTAACAAGGCTCTCCCCCAAGAGTTGTGGGAGGGCACAGGAAGATTGTGGTTGGAGGATCAAGAGACCCCATCATAGGACCCAGGAGACCCACTCCCTCTTTGTGCATATGTAAATATTTCAAATATTTTCTTAAACTTCCAAAACCTGTATGGTATTCCACATAAAATTATTGATGGGACAGTTTAATGAAAGGGGAAATAGTTGGAAAAGGACAGGAACTAGAAAAATTATAGGAGTAATGATCTATAAGCAAAAAGTTAATTGTGCTTCTTCCTCTATTTTCAACACTCAACGCCACAATAGGATGAAGAGGAATGGTGCTTGAAAAAGGAGCAATCATTAGTCTTTGTGAATGAGGAATCTCTCACTCAATGCAGAAGAAAAATCAGCAGTTAATCTTGTAGACAGAAATTTGAAATAGGACTTCATTGAAAACCATGTTATAAAAATCCCTGCAGTTATTTCTTTATTGACTTGTATACAGCTGACTGTCCCCAGAGTCAGAGAGCTTATAAGAGTAAAACCACACAGTAAGAAAATAGATGAGCATGAAACTGAGCAAACTCAGGGAGGCAGTGAAGGACAGGAAGGCCTGGCGCAATA